AGTGATTACGAGGTGAAAAGGAAAAATTACCCCTGCACTAACGGTACAAAAGTGACGGTGTTAGGGTCAATGATCAATCGCGCAATGAACTGAAACCATAAGGACCAGTGGCGTGACTTTTTGCTAGGAATTCCTTAAAATGTGATATTCTATAAACCATAGGGACCGATTGTGAAATTTTATCTTAGGATTATCTTTGTTGGTGTTAGATGGGCCCACGTGTGTATATATATATATATATATATATATATATATATATATATATATATTCATTTCTTTTAATAGGTTAATAACAAAGGAAATAAAAAAAATTGAAAAAAAGAAAATATTAAGGGCAACACAGTTATTTTGTATTAGACAGAGACTTACACGGTAACAAAATCAAAACCTAAAGACAGTCCAAGTACAAAAGAAAAGATATGAACCAAACGTGAAATTTTTGTAAACTATATGGACAATTTCAGTAATTTGTTCCAAAATTTATAGAAATGGCCGGTGGGTTAGTGGAGCAATTATTTAGTCTCTATAGTTTTTAATTTAAAATAATTATATTTCTAGACCCTATTGTTTTTAATATGCATTATAGTTTTAATCCTTATAGTTTTCAATTTCATTTTTGGCAAATTTTAAGAAAGTTACTATAACATATTTTGTAAATGATTGAGATTCCAATGCCTAATTCATTGATACTCGTCTGAATAAATACAAGAGGTACAGAGACATTATACAGGAAAGTCTAACTAACAAATCAGCTAAATAAGGAAAAGATACTACACAATAAATATATAGATACAATATATAAATCTGAAATATATAGCAAGTGTATATTTCGGCTAATACTCCCCCGCAGTCGAATCGGTAGCTGGTCTGATAGAGAGACTGGAACGGAAGCGAGTAAACAACTGACGAGGTAACCCTTTATTATAGATATCTGCATACCGGTAATCCGCGGGAACATGTAAAACTTGAAGGGAACCCATACGCACTTTCTCATGAACAAAATGAATGTCGATTTCAATATGTTTCGTGCGTTGGTGTTGAACTGGATTTTGAGTGAGATATACGGCTGAAATGTTGTCACAGTAGATGATGGTGGCTTGGCGTAACGGAAGGTGGAGCTCAAGGAGTAAGTTACGCAACCATGTAGTTTCAGCCGCTGCATTAGCAACTCCTTTGTATTTGGCTTCAGTGCTTAAACGAGAAATAGTAGGTTGTCGTTTCGACGACCATGAGACAATGTTGTCACCAAGAAATACACAGTAGCCGGACGTTGAGCGTCTAGAGTCAGGGCACCCTCCCCAATCTGCATCGGAGTAAGCAGTTAGTTTTGTAGACTTTGAGGGAGAGATGTGGAGTCCATGATGATTGGTGCCTTTGAGGTATCGCAAAATGCGTTTTAAGAAGTTGAAGTGCGGTTCACGCGGGGCATGCATGAAGAGGCAAACTTGTTGGACTGCGTAGGCAATGTCTTGGAGAGTGAAAGTTAGGTACTGTAGAGCACCAGCGAGGCTGTGGTATAAAGTGGTATCTGGCATAGGGTCACTGGCGGTTTCACTGAGTTTAGAGCTGATGTCGACAGGGGTGGCGCATGGTTTGCAATGTTGCATGTTTGCCCAAAAAAGAATGTCATTCACATATTGTTCTTGGGTAAGGAATAAACCTCCATGTTGGTGTGTAACTTGAATTCCTAGGAAGTGATGAAGAGTCCCAAGATTAGACATTGCAAACTCTTGTGATAATAAGTCGATGAAGTATCGAAGAGTAGCGTTGTCGGATGCGGTCAAGATTATATCATCCACATAGAGAAGAAGATACGCCATTTTAGTGCTTTTTTGGAAGACGAAAAGAGAAGTGTCACTTTTTGTACTTTTGAAACCACAATTATGAATGTAAGTTGCAAAACGATGATACCATGCCCGCGGGGCTTGTTTTAGCCCATAGAGAGATTTGCGCAAACGAAAAATGTGTGTAGGATTTTGTGGATCCACGAATCCCGGGGGTTAGTACATATAAATTGTTTCTTTGAGATCCCCATGTAAAAACGCGTTCTGGTTGGGATGTCAAGCCCACCAAGCAAATTATACCCTTTGATTGCTAAATAAACGTAATATAATGGTAAAAAGGGGTATCGATCCTCGGGGAAATGGTTGTATTCAATCACCAATGCAATTCAATAGAACTAGTGAAATTAAACTAACTAACTGCAATTAAAATAAAAGGGGGGGTGTTTGATTACTTGAAAACTAAAATACTTGAATAACTAAAAACCTTGCAATTAAGCAAGTTGATGAGATGCTCAAAGGTTGGGAATAATTGGTTAACTTAGGCAATTCAACATAATGAACATTTGTGTGTTTATCATTAGGATCTAATACAAAGCTTATCCTTCATCCCAAATTGGTTAGAGCAATCATGAAGCATCATATGCCAAGATTCCTCATAGGTAGTATGGAAGTTGGGGAAGCCCACAACACACCTTCTTAATTAAGATCAAGGGTCAATTGAAGCAATTAATCCCAAGAAATCAATTAGCTTTAAGAATGAAGGAATCCCCAATAACTAGAGGATGTCAAATGCTTACACATCCATAAAGGAGATATGATTCATAAGCTAGAGATGATTTCTACCATCATAAAGCCTTTGTTCTAGATAAATTCAATGATCCAATGCAAAATCAATGAAATAAATCAACTATTGCTCAATCAAATACTAAGCTCATGATCAAAGCATCAAATAAGCATAAGAATTGCAAACTAGAATCATAAACATGGAATAAATTGATAATCAACATAAATCCTTCAAAACCCACAAACATTCATTGGTTTTCAGCCAAAGTCAACCAAATAAGAGTATTAGCCACTCATGGCAACAAAGTAACAAGAACAATAATCTAATTGCATAAAGAAACTACCTAAGATTTGGAAAGATGAAAGGAAATGATTTCTAGCTCCCAAAATCGCCTCTTGCAGGTCTCCAATGGTGGAAAATCGTGAATGAGCTTCTAGATCTGATCCCCAAGGGTTATGGCAAGCCAAATGACCAAAATGCCCAAACTGGGCAGTTGCGCGGGTACCCGCGCGACGAAAATTCCACCCGCGCAAATGTTGCTGTAATGCTATTGGTCCACCAAGCCACTCCACCCTTCCACTACCAAAGATTCCTTTGGTCCCCCTCCTTGTCCATGTAATTTGAAATGCACCAATCATCATTTAGCCACCAAATGGATGCTCCAAGCCCAAAATTTGAATTTTATGATCCATCTTCACAAGCCCAAATAATCTAAGCCAATAACTTTCAAAGCCCAATTCTTCCTCCTTGATTCCGCCAAGCCCAATAATGCCTCGGGAGCCCACTAAGCCCGTCTCCAATCAACCCGCAACCGCAACAAGCACCGAAAAACCTACAAAATATCTTATGCAACATAACAAGCACCCGGTACGATCCATACTAAAGAAAAATAAATAAAATAGAATGCATTAATGATAAAAAGATCTAAAAATCTAAAATAAACTAATAAAAATAAGGAAATAAAATAAGCTATCACGTTCTTGACGTCTAGTTGATGTATTGGCCATGATCATGAAACTGCAAGACTAAGAATAGTTCGGATTGTTGTTGGTTTCAAGACGGGACTGAAAGTTTCATCACAATCTACTCCAACTTGTTGACATTTACCATTAACCACCAGGCGTGCTTTATATCTTGCAAGAGTCTCATTAGCATGAAATTTGTGCCGATAAATCCACATGCAACGATAACATGAGCATCAAGTGGAGGTGGCACGAGTTCCTATGTGTTGTTATCTATTAGAGCCTTATGTTCATCGGTCATGGCAGAGTGCCAGTTTGGATCAGACAAGGCGTGTTTG